GGGGAAGGGTAAGCTGTGACAAAGGGAGAGAGAGGCATGGACATATATACACTACCAAGCGTAACGTAGATAGCTAGTGGGAAGCAGCCACATAGCACAGGGAGATCAGCTCGGTGCTTTGTGAGCGCCTGGAGGGGTGGGATAGGGAGGGTGGGAGGGAGGGAGACGCAAGAGGGAAGAGATATGGGAACGCGTATATGTATGGCTGATTCACTTTGTTATGGAGCAGAAACCAACACACCATTGTAAAGTAATTATACTCCAATAAAGATGTAAAAAAAAATTAAAACCCAACAAAACCTTATAGAAGGACAAGATTCTATTATACATAGTCTGTACTGAAGTCATAAGCATCATCTTCCTCTTCAGTCTTTACAACTATATATATATATGTTTGTAAATTAATGTGTGTATATATACATACATACACACACACTAATTTAAACCAGACATATTGATAAGCTATGGAACTTCTCTAGTGATAACTCATTAATACAACATTACAACCAGGGTAGTTCTAAGATCCAAGGTATTCTTTCTTGTTCCACTGCCCCAGAAAAAGCAAATGGTCTCCCTGTCCATTAAGCTGTATGTTTAAACCACAGCAATAGAAGGGTCTTACCTCCCTAAATCTGACTAACAACTTTTTATTTAGCCAGCCACTTGTGATGGCTTAAATGTCTTGCTTCGCTTCTCATGCCCTTGAGCTTAGGTGGGTGGGCTCCATCAAAATGTAGTCTCAGTAAGTACTATAAAGTTGTGCGTTGTAACAGTAATAGAGTGAATGAAGTTGGAATATTTATCCCACTTAAAGTGAAAAGTGCCACAGAATATGAAAGAATTACTAGAGCTGTATTGCTGGGCTGTTTTTTTCTGCCATAATTTTCATGAGTTTTGGGGGGAAATGGACTTTTGTAGCATATAAAAATAATAGAAGAGTTCATTAGGCAGACAGAAGAGATCAAGGGCTTATAAAAATCTGCACTTAGATTCACATTGGCCTATTTCAACATTTCAAAATCATTATAGCTTTTTCTGCTGTCATTTCCAGCCTGAAACTCCATCTCTAATCTAAAATAGAGCAGGACAATTCATTAAATTGGCATGACATTTATTAGCCACTGAATCTTTCTACTCATGAGTGGAGAAGGAATTTCAGATATGCCCTAGATAAGAAGCAAACCAGCAGTAAGAAAAGCTGTCAAATCTACAGGCAGTTTAATGCTGGGGAAAATGAATGTGGGAATGGTGGCAAGGCTACTCCGTCTCCATCAGAAATTGTGGAAAACCAGGAAAGAAAAAGCCATTCAAAATGAAAAGGTTGACATGAAAAGCAAAGTAAATGATATAAAAAATACAACTCCAGAGAGCCAGAATACAACCCCCCAGGAGTTTTGCTTCACCACCAACATAACAGTTTATAAAGCAAGAGATGAGGAAAAGAGATTGGGAAAGGTACTGAATAATGAATGGTTTGAGGAATAGCACAGTAGTTTTCTAAAGATGCTAAACCTGGCCCATCTTACCTCATTCACAGCCAAGTACTAACATGTTGTCCCAATCACGACTGAGAGGATGATACGGCTAGAGAAATAAGCAGTTCTTTAAAATTTTTGTTGATCAGCACCTTTAATCAAATGGGTGTTTCAGGCTTCTGGTTCCCACTAAACCAAGAACTGGATGCCTCCATCTCTCCATGAGGAGAGGCCCTATTACCATAGGCTGAGACCCTGGCTACACATCTTTAGGATAAAATATCAGTAGATATAACTTATTCTTTGAACTCATGGTAAGACAGTGCTCATTAAGAACTTGCGTAGCAGATACCCTTCATGTCCCACGCTAGAATAAGGACTTCCATCTCCTTAGCTCTATCAAGTTAAGGACTCTTGCAAGAGTAATTAGAGGTTTTGGTTCCTTTTCATGAAGATCTCAGTTAGGTAATCCCAAAATTTCCTCTGCAGTGTTTCATTGTTGTGGATCATGGCAGTGAGAGCTTCCCCCTGGTCCAGGCCTTGCCAGTAATCTTGCAGCCACATCTCCTTCCAGCTGAAACATCAAAATGGGAGTTGGATTACGGAACCTCAGCACAGCTATGAGTCCTACCTTTCTCTGAATGGCCAAAGAAATCTTAAGCAGATACAGTGGTTTATGGCTAGGACGAGGGATCCGCTTTGAGGGAAGGAAATGTGAAGTAAACCCAGTATTAGTCCAAGTGACAGGCAGTAAGCCACAAACACAAATTTATCACACAACACCCCCCCCTCCCCCAATGAGTTAAATTTCCTGACTTGCCTGCTCTTGGTCCCTAAATGTGGAGGGAATTAAGAGGCAGGCAGGACAGGGGCCAAACTATGGACACAGTAATCTCCCTAAGAAAAGCAAGGGGGCATATTTAGATGGTTACCTTTCATGTTACACCTATTTCAATAATCAAAATGAAAGTGCAATAGTATCCAGTGTCTTGATGAGACAGAACCTGAATGTTTCTCTTTTTTTAATGTGTTACACTTTTCCTCTGACAAATCATAATATTATGTTCAGCACAAACTAGATACAAATTACTTGATGTAAATTACTGGATACAAATTACCTCCACTCCCAGGACCAAACTGTGCCAGCCCTCTGCTGCCATCCACTGTCCAAGGTGATCTCTGCAGGACATTCTAGCAGCCTCTCTTTCTCACGGCTAATAATCTTTTATCACCCCTCCCCCCAACAGGTGTGGTTTGCTGCAAGTGGCTTCAACATTTCCCCACCCCACCTCCCATGCTGACCTTGTTTCCCAATGTCACCACCTTCTGCCACCTACTGCAGTAGCCCCCTCACTTCCCTTCCAATCCACACTGCCCACCATTGTTAATCATCCTTTGAAAGCATCCCTTCTACTCTGTCTAGGACAAACATATAATTTATCATCCAAATCAGGGTAATTTTAAGAGTGAAAGGAGGTGCTGTTAATAGTTACACCAGGTTAACAGGTATAAACCCTGATTGTTGCAGACAAACCTCCCTCAGAATACTCTCTTCTGTATCTCTCATCCCCAGCCCCACCATGCTGAAGGTGCTCCATAAATAGCTGAGTTGATTTTCAGGACAGTCCAGCTCCAGAGCCTAGTATTCAGAATATGTACAACCTGGCCCAGCTTTGTCTCTCCCCCATTGCTTCCCTGAACGGGCCCTCTGCTCTAGTTGAAGCTTTTTTTGAACTACTGCAAACATTGTTTACAAAAGCTGATTTTTGTATGTTGTTGCCCTGAATGATATCTCACATCTTTTACTGAGCTTTCGCAGTTTGTCTTATCCCCACAACTAGACTCTTGATACCTTAAAGGCAGAGTGATCCCATGTCATAATTTCCTTATACAACATCCCCTCAGCACCTAGTGCTAATTTATTGCCTGCAGGAAGCAAGTCAGTAAATCATTTGATTTGACAGCCACAGGAGACCCCAGCTACCCTTACCTGTCATTCTCAGGAATCTCTTCCACACTGCCAAAGCCAGGTGTGGGCACTGGGCAGTCCATGTGTGAGGGCTGGGCAATATGAGGCTCAGGGACAGGGATGTCCCCAGGAGAGGCTGCATGGGCCTTCTCGGCATCCAGCCGAGCCAGTTCGTGGTCACAGACGAAACACTCGAAGCCGTTAAGGTAGTTAGGCAGTAAAGGATCATTCACTCCCCACTCCCGCTGCTTCAGACTATCCAGAAGGAACTGGTTGGTGATGCCCCCAGGTTGCTTGTATGCCAGGTATTTCATATATTCCTCATCATTTTTGTCCAGAAAGTCAATAAACTCTGCCAGCTTCTGCGGCGACTCAAAGTCGTCAATGAGGATGATGGAGTGATTGTTGGGCACCCAGTCCCTCACAGAGGGAGAGCCGCGGTACACAGGCACAGCACCGAGGTGCATGGGGCGCCACAGTTTTTCCGTCATGTAGTCGTCACAGATGGCATTTTCGAGGGCCAAATGAAACTTATAGCGGGACAAGAAGGCCAAGAGTTCTGGATCCTCAGTGGTGGCTGTGGCTGTGTCCTGTAGCCGCGGCGTGGGCAGCTCCCGATTCTTCAGGCATTTCCCATATGAGTCCACCTGAGTGGGGTACAGCACGCCGTCAAGAGGGTATGGGTAGCGTATATATGGACATATATACACTACCAAAGGTAAAACAGATAGCTAGTGGGAAGCAGTCGCATAGCACAGGGAGATCAGCTCGGTGCTTTGTGACCAGCTAGAGGGGTGGGATAGGGAGGGTGGGAGGGAGGGAGACGCAAGAGATATACGGGGATATATGTATATGTATAACTGATTCACTTTGTTATAAAGCAGAAACTAACACACCATTGTAAAGCAACTATACTCCAGTAAAAATGTTAAAAAAAAAAAAAAAAAGAAGATATGTCACGTCGGCCTGGACACCAGGGGTCGCGGCCTCAGCCCGGCGCGCCACCCTCCCCTTCCCGCCCCGCCCTCACCCACCGGGATGTAGCGCATGAGCTCGCGCACGTAGCGGTCCCGGTCCGCAGGCACGTCGCAGTGGGACTGCAGGTAGAGCAGCGGCGCGTAGCCCCGGCGGCGCCAGTCCGTGCGTTCCGGGAGCGGAGGCGCCGCGCGGCGCAGATAGGCGGTCCCGGGCAGCCACTGCAGCGGCAGCGGGTAGTCCGAGTGACGGCTGAAGGTGGCGGTAAGATTGAAGAGGCGGATGCCCGGACTGTGGCTCAGCAAGAAGTTGTTGAGGGGCGACTCCTCGTGCAGGAGTGCCCAGCTCTGGTGCGCCAAGCGCGGCAGCGGCGCTTCGGACGCGCGGAAGTCAGTGCCGTAGAAGAGCAGTGCGCGCGTCCGCGGGTCTCCCCGCACCCGTCGGTCCCGGGACGCCACGCACGCGCCGCGCGCGCACTCGATGCGCTCCGAGTCGCCCGGGAAGTGAGGGAACAGCCCTGGGCTCCACCATAGCAGCACTGGCAGGTCCACCGCCTCCCCCCTCCCCGGCCGCGGGGTCCCTGGACCGCGCGCCACCCCCACTGCGCCCAGCGCGGAGGGAGGCCGGAAAACTGCGCCGTCCCACGGCTCCGCCCACTCCACCTCCCCGCTGGTCTCCCCCTCCGCCACGGGCCTTGAGCCGCTGGCCGCACAGACACTAAGCACTCCCAGGGCGGCAAACACAGCCCCCGTGCGGCCGGCCCCCATGTCTACTCTGACAGCCGAAGCCCCTCAGCAACAGGCCTCGCCTCGCGGTGAGTCGCGACGCGACGAGGTCCTACGCCACAGGGGCACATGGCGCATGTGCAGCTCAGTGGCCACCTCAGCCGGCCACTTCGCGGGAGCCGCTAATCCTGGCAGGAAGTACTGCAAGGAAAGTGATACGTCGCAGATAAAACGGAGGCTGCTGGTTACATCTTAATTTATTTTATTTCTTTACAAATTAAAGATGCATTGAAAAATAAACCAACGAAGAGAAATGAGAGGTCCAGAGCAGGGGCGTCCCGGGCTGGGGGCAGGCAAGCCTGGCCACCATCAAGCCTAGCCCTTGTCCTGCCCCAGCTAGGTGGGGTTGGAAGATAACTGTCAGCCACTCTGTCAGTACGAAAGCCTGAGTGGTGTCCTAGCAGGAAAGACTAGCCACCTCTGCCTCTCTCTCCAACAACCTCCAGCTTGGAGAGCAGTGCTTCCAGCGGGAGCTCAGAGTGGGATACGGGCTGGCTCTGTGAGGTATTGCAAGTCGATGGCCAGGCTCCCTACAGAACCATCCAGTGTTGGGGCCTCTCCAGCTGGAAAGGAGACTGATACCGCTACCAGGTCTTAATATAATTTGCAACTCTGTTCCCAGGCTCGTTCATTTCTGATTACGTGCCTCTATTCACCAAGTGATCACCAATCATTTCAGGAGAGAGAAAGATCAGTGGAAGAGAGCAAGAAAGCTAATCAACCACCCTCAGTCACTCTGAGTTGGCTGTTGACTTCCAGGCCCAAGAAGACTGACCACTTTTCTCTCTACCATCTATGGTCTATACCCCAGCTCTTGTGCACCTGTAAGTATGTTTATCCCTAATATAGGAAGTTGTTGATGACAATGAGCTGACTTCGCAGCCCCTCCCCCTGTAATACCCTGGGATCCTCACTCCTTCCTGTCTGCCCTTCTCTTCTTGGAGGCTGGTCCAAAGGGACACATAATATTATCAGGGTCTGGGTGGCTCCAAATCCCCCAACACCAAATCATATACAGTGAACTGAGAAACTACATTCATTACGACAGGATTAGCAGGAAAATGGTAAAGTGAGGGGACAGGGGCACCTTCCAACAGCAGGACATGACAGAGTGGTAGGATACTTGAGCCCAGAAAGAAGGTGTCTCCTTATACCTCCCCCTCCCCCCAAAGAGACTGAGGTCAGCTTATATGACTTATAATATATGGAACTGTCCCAATTTCTCTGCTGTCCTGGGGTACTTTCTGGAAGCTGGCCTGGACCCTATGCTGTTTACCACATGCTCTAGCTCAGTAGCTGCCGAATCTCCTTGTGCATATGACAGAGAAAGTCCACATAGGATGCTCCGCCGCTCAGGCTCTTGTCTTCCACCAGGAAGTGTTTGAACAGTGTCTCCAGCTTGTCCTCTTGTTTCACCACAATAAGCTACGGCCAGAACACAGGGTCATGAGGCAGGGCTAAAGGGAATTAAACATGCCCTAAAATCCCATTATCTAGTCACTTACTCCCCATCCCCCTTCCCAGTGAGGACTTGACAAGGTAAGAAATCCAGGTTCGGATCAGTGTTACCTTCATGTACCGCGATCTCTGTGCCCTCAAACTGTCAATGAGGCCTTGCACCTTCTTGGACAGTAGATTATCCAGAACTGGCAGAACACTCTGGAACACAAAATTCATTTATCCTTATGGTAAGGTATGCTGAATCCAGAAGTGAAGATGGGACAGCACAGATTTATGCATTATCTGAAATATGGAAGCCTGTGAAGAATGACAGCACCCTCCCTCTCTAAGTGTACCCTGCTATTTAAGGGAATGAGCACACTTTTCTTGGCTCCTAACTCATATCACAGAGTCTACTTCCACACCCACATTCTCCTTGACTCCCTGCCCTCACCAAGCCACTGGTGATCTGACTGAAGGAGGAGACACCGAAGAGGCTCTGGACAACACCCTGTTGGACACTTGCTCCCACCCAGAGGAAGAGGTTGAGCCCATTCTCCAGCAAATATATATCCCCGTTGCTTAGACGCTCTTCAGATGCTCGAACTGCTGGTGGTTCAGTGGTATTCTCAATGGGAGACTTTGTCTAGACAAAAGGAAGGGGGCAAACGGTTACCAAGGACCATAAGACTCGTTTGCCCACCCACACCCCCATCCTTCATCCCCATACACAAGAAATTTCAGAAAGCTAAGCACCTGAGTAACTCTCAGTATGAAATTATTACATCAGATAAGATAGGTAAAATATTCATGAGTGTCAGACACAGATAATATTAATCCTTCCCTTCCTCCTCCTATGATGTCCCTTTCTCACTACAATGTCTCACACTCCAGCACTCAGTCGCACCAACGGTAGGAGCCGAGGATAGAAGAAGACATTGGTCTCAGCCACATCCATGGAGGTAACCAGCTGTCGGACGTAGGCCCGGTCATCAGTAGTGACTTCAGCTCCAGGCTGCAGGACATCACTCTTCAATACACAGTTCAGGTAAACTGGGAGTAGCTTCATGCACTCAGGAAGGATCAACTAAGGGGGTTATCAAAACAAAGTCAATAATCATGAGAAATCCCTCCCAATGCAAAAATGTATCCCAACAACTCCTCCACCAATATGCTTTCCCTACCTGTCCTGCAGAGGAGGGGCTGGCACAGTTCTTTCTGTAACAGGCCAAGATCTGGGCACACTGAGTGATAAGAGTGTCACGAACAGTCTTCACAGGGCTGCTCAGGACCCCCCGGTATGCTGGATGGGAAAGGGAGACAGCACAGTCACTGGTCAGCCACTCCATCACATGTGCCTTCCCACCATCACACCCACTCAGGAATGCTGAATTGTTGACCATCCTGGACCTTTCTCTTAGCCCCAATCCCACCCAGCCCTGCCTCTGCCCTCACCAAACTTGGCCATGTAGTTGATGAGCGTGTCAGTCTCACAGTTTCGATACAGATCAGCCAGCTGAGTGCAGCAGTTGAGGGCCAGGTTGTGGATGCGGAGCCGTCGCTGCCCTGCACAGCTGGTGTAGAGCAGGGCACACTAGGGGAAGCGAGAAAGGGGGAATTCACACCCCTCCCTCAGCATAGCCCTTCGAAAACTGCCTCTGCTATATTATTAAACTAGAAGACAGACAGGAGCCATCCCTTCTCCAGTCTCTTCTAGTCTTCTCTACCCATCCCTCACCCGCTTCCCTACAGCCTATTTATATCCAGTGAAATGACCGCGGACACTTCTTCCCCAACCCCTGCCTCCTGTCCCCTACCTGCAGGAGGGCTCCATTCTCTTCATTGAGCCGATCGTCATGCTTGAACTCCACAGTCACCGTCTTGTCCCCATCCAGCCCAGCCAGCTCCACATCTGTTGTGTTGTTCATGTAGAAAGCCCCAAAGAAATCTACAGCACGGATACCTGAGGCCACATGGACAGCGCTAAAGGTATGACAGGTGCCTCCCTCCAGACTGAGCCCCCCCACCTGCTCTTCTCCAACTAGGACTGACCAGTGCTTGTCCGGACCCGCATCACAGCATCAAAGCCAACGACCTTCTGTACATCCCGACGCAGGTCACTCAGGAACCGTTCCTGGTCATTTTCCACCTGCATCCCCCCAGGCTCAGAGTCACATCACTGACTACATATAAACAATCTCCCTGCACCCCCTCCACTCTACAAGCCTGCAGAATCATAACGACAGTAACAGTGAAGATAATGATGTTGATGATAGCTTTTAAGCACTTATTACATATTACATGCCAGGTATCCCATTAAGTGCCTTACATATAATTACTTAATCCTGATGACAGATCCTAATTAATAACTATAAAAATCCCATTTTGTAGATGAAGAAACAAAGGAGAGAATAATTAAGTAATTTATCCTAGGTCACACAGCTGGTAAATAGTAGGGCCAGAATATCAACCCGGGACTGATTCCAAGCCCCGTGCTCCTGACTGCCACACTCTCTTCTGTACACTGTGCAGTCTTCTCCTCCAACGCTATTCCTATTAATGAGTCAGCAGCTAAGGGGCCACTCCACATGCAGGCAGGCATTCCCAGTCCTGCTTCCACCTGCCACCCAGAGTCCCATGCCGTACCTGAAAGCAAGCGTATTTATAGACAGAGCCACCAGTGAGCTGGGGTACAACAGAGAGCGTGGCCACATCCACATACTGGTTAGGGAAGAGGAAGAGGTCTACGCAGCAGCCTTGGGCCACACACTCTTTGGCCAGGGTCTGATAGGCACCTGTCTGAGGCTGGAACAGAGTCTGGGGAAGAACAGAAAAAAATGTTCAAAGATCCCAGTTCCACCCTGCTTGAGAACTGTATATGCTGTATATGTAATGTGGGATATTCAAGGACATGTAAGACTTCAGATCTACCTCTCAGTTTGCAATAGTAACAGAACAGTCTCTTAAAAAAAAAAAAAGTCTACCAAGGGCTTTGGGATGGGGTAGAGGTGTGGGAGCAGTGGAGAAGGTTGGCAGTCACGGATGTGACATGTGAAAGGGCAGAGGATCCAGTCCCAGTTCCCCTCAAGAAAGTTAAGAGTACTGCATTGTGAATAGACAGCATGTTCCTCTGTAATAGAAAGTCCTCCCCGCACCTCCCAGTCCCATACCTTCTCCTTGTCTGTGTTGATCAACTTCCTGTCGTCTCTGTTCTTCAGTTTCCCTGGGGCCTCTGCAATGGGCAGGGAGGTGTGGAACAGAAAGAGCTTCCCTGCACACTCAGCAGCCTAGAAAAGAAGAGAGATCTACTTGTCCATTCTTTCCTTTATTCATCCATTATTCATTCATCCCTTCCCTCGTCATTTACTCAGTGCCAACTATGTCAGACAAGCTGACTCACTACACAGCCATCAATCACTGAAGATACAGAGGTTGTATCCTAGGGGGTAAAATGGTCAGAAGACAGTGTTGCAGAGGTGGCTGCCAGGGACTCGAGCCTTACCTTCAGAGCCTCCATCCCAGCCTGGATAACTGGGGCAAATACTGTCTCTGTCTCCCTTGTGTCTGCAAACATTTCTGGAATCTGATCCAATAAGCTGAAGAGATAGGTGATAGGAGGCAATCAAAATTGCTATCCAAATTTCAAATCCCTCAATTCCCTGAAGAGTCATCTGGCCCCCAGACTCTGAGAACTCCTGAGGCACAGCCTCTGTCCATCTGCTGAACCCTCTGCTCAACTCTCTGGCTTTCTGTGGTTGTATCCACCCCACCCCTGCTTTACCCCCACAGTCTAACTCCTACCTGGTGATGACTGCTTGAGACTCATTGATATTGACCAGGAAGCCATCCAGCAGTGGCACAAACATGTCACCCACATCAGATACAACCATCATTTGTGGCTGGGCCAATGAGCTCTTCACATTGTAGAAGTGGAGCACCTTATTATAGGTGACAAAGCCAACGCGGATTGCTGACTCTTCTGCCCCGCCCTCCCTGTAGAAGGTGACATTGTTACCCACGGTTGCCACCTTCTCCACCACCCAACTTCATGACATCAGGATCCATGATGTGCTGAGTTAACCCAGCCACCCACCCCTAAGCCCCCTCCCCAGGCATCATTATCCAAAGGAAGCACCTTGGCTCCTAACTCTCACCTAGGCAGGAAGTCTAACAATGACTTGAGCTCCTCACAGAGGAGCCTAACAAGACCACTCCTGATGGCATTGTAGGAGACGTCAATCATGAAGATGAAGGCAGGAGGGCTGGGGAACTTATTGTTCTGCAAAGGAAGGAAATGTTGGCGGCAGGGGTGGGAGAGGGGTATTAGTAAGCAGGTCAGTTGACTAGAGAGAAGTCAACACCAAAGGGGACAATGACGGGGTGAGGGAAATGACCACAGCAAGTCTTAGCTGTCTCATTGTCCACCCACTGCTGCTCCCCACGCTACCTTCCCTCACCTTGCAGTAATCTACAGTGGCCAAGAATTCATAAGAACCCAGGGACAGCTCAGGACGGTCATAAGCATCCACACGTTTGCCGGTATGATCCAGATGTTGAAAATACTGGGGGGGAACTGTGGGGAGTAGGGCAGAGTGTTACTCAAAGGTCCACGCTCAATCTTAGTTGGGTCCTGGCTGAGCTCACTCTATTGCCCCACATCCCCACAGGCGCCTTATTTCCCCAACTCCTGAACCAACGGACCCTCATCTATCTAACTAGAAAGAGAACAATGAAGATGCAATCCAGATCCCCCCCAACCCCAGCCTCTGTGAACATACCATCGTTGATACAGCTGCAAAAGCAGCACTGGAAGCGCCTCCCTCCCTCAACGAACTGCATGAAAGGGCACATGTATGCTTTGCAGCGATTGCAGCGCAAAGGGCCAGATTCCCCGTGGTCGACAACATACGGTGAAGCCTAAAGAGCAAAGAGGAGGGGCTCAGACATAGAGGGAAGCTACAGCAGGGAGCTATATGTGGCAACAGATGAGGAGGAACAACCTGGAGGAAGAAGGGCATGGCTCAGATACTCTGCCTGGGGAGGGAGCAGAGAGAAGGGGAACGAGGACAAATGTCAAATGTCTCTAAGGAATGTCCCTAAGAGTCTAAATTCTATAGTCCCCTCTCCTTACTCCTCATCTCTAGAATTTCACTTCTTCTGGAAAGAGAAGAGCAACTGTGGAACTGGCCCAAACAAGCCAGGGGCTGACATGGATGTATGAGGAGAAAACCAGAGATTACCCAGGATTCTCATTTCTGGCCCAATCTTCAATCCCCTTCACTCCTGCTCTAGGATCTTGACTCCTACCTCCTTTCCCAACAGAGTATCTATGACATTTGTCCTCTCCAATCCCTGGATTTCTGTGAGCCTACTGATGCCCAGGCAGATGTCACCCTACAGATAAGAGACCAGCAGCCAAGTGTCCAACCATCCCCACTGAGACCCAGGAAAAAAGAAAGAGAAAAACACAGAACAAGACAGAGAAGCAGGATGTAAAGTGAGCCGTGAGTATCCAGTTATAGAGAAATCCACCCCAAGTTCATTAAGCTAGGCATGAATATGAGGGTATCCTACCAAGGCCTGACAGAGCAGCTGCCAAGCTCTCTCTCTTTCAATGCTGATTCCAGGTATTGGGGTGACAGATCATGGCCCAAACCAGGTAAGAGAAGGACTACTGGATCCTAATCTACCTTTTTCCTTAATATGCTGTCCTAACATCTCGACTTACCTGGGATGACAGGACAGCATACAAGAAAAAACAGAATGATGTGCTTCTAATCATCTGGAGATGACCATGCTATGAGAGGTTCCTGCAACCAGCTGTCTTCTCCCCTACAAGTTGGCCTTGACTCTTTCCATAATGTGTTTCCCCTGTGGACTCTGCTCCCATCCAGCAATTTCTTGGGCTTTTACTCTCATCCCTACCACCCCTTCAGGCATGGGCCCTGTGATAGAAAGCTATTGAAGATATTCGCCCCTCCTGCCCAACCAAGACTTCTTCCATTGTGACTGCCAGAATCACATCTAGGAAGAAGTCTCACTCCCCAATCCGTCTCCCTTCCTCCCTTTCATTATACTCTAGTCCCTTCCCTGACTCACCTCTTCTGGGGGCAGCCTTGCCAGCGGCTTGATGACAGCTGCTAGGGGCACCTGAGCCTGCTTAGCCATGTCAGATGTGCAAGGGATATTATAGGATGTGCATCGGATGTATCGGGGACTTGCATTCCCTGAAGAGGAGGTAGAAAAGCTGAGTCAGATCACAGAATCACTCCAGACACTGGCTCTCCATTGCCAATCCACCCCATCATCCCAACAAATGCTAGAGCTGATGGTGGCTTTTTCCCCCTAGAGACCAATGAGGGATTGGTCTCTGATTAAAGACTGACAAAGCCCCATCCATAAGCTGATAATGCTGGAGAAAAAGTCCCCGCAGGGAGTAATTAATGCCCTTCTCACCTTGGTCTTTCACGAGGAAGTTGGTGGTGACTAAGGGTGGCACCTGGCCCCGCACTCCAGTAACAAATGGCTCTGAACCCCGGTTGTTCCTGTCATCCTCAATAACCTGAATCTGTAGGGAAGAGGTGAAATGAATGAAGTGACAGATGAAAAGGGAGTAGCAGGTTGCAGAGAGCCAGGAGAAAGAAACACTGGAGCTGCAGCACAGAAACTAATAATTTGCCAAGGAACACGCCTCATGCACCAGGCCTGCTCTCCTTTAGGAGATCATATAAAATGCTGTAATACCAATCTTCCACTCCACAGTCAGCAGCAACATGCTGGACAGGCAACATTGAGAAAGGGCTTCTTTATGAATCGCCCTGATCCCAATAAATGGTGATCACCCTGTTATAATACCTACTCCAGGAAAGCTCCAGCTCTTATCACAAGCCTGCAAACATGATCAGATTCCACTTCCCTCCCCCATCAAGCCTCTGCCTCCCCTTCTCTTCCCAAGACACATTCTGAATCAGAGCAGGGGAACAGACAACGGTAACCATGTAAAAATGAAATCTACCTGGAATGACTCTACACTCAATGAAAGTAGAAGGGACAGGGTGAGGAGAGGATTACACAGCAGGAAATGATCAGGTAAGGTGAGGAAGCAGATGCTGCCTTATTTTCAGGTAAGCATCAGTGTGTAAATATGGGAGAAGAGGATATTATAGCCCAATCCTCAGTCCCCCACATTTTGACAGACCCAGCAAAGGAAAAAAAAAGATTTTGCAAAGCTGGTGATCAGACCTTCATGCAGGCTGATAACCTTTGGTCAGTTACTTCAAGATGGGTTTGGTAAAACCAGAAAAAGTAAAGGGAGAATAAGACTCTGTATCCCATAGCAGAAAGAGTTGAAGCTTAGAAATATATCAGAGTCAAACAGACTCTCTAGATGAGAAAGTGGCCCACACTTTCCCAAACCAGCTGACCCCTCCCCGTAAGAAATGAGTTTCCCAAATTTGTACATTAGTAGCCACCTACCCACATGTTTCTCTACAACAAGCAGTAGACAAATCAAACCCAAAAGGGAAAGATCTACTGTTCAGTTTTTGTTTTTTTGTTTTTTTTTTTGCGGTACGCGGGCCTCTCACTGTTGTGGCCTCTCCCGTTGCGGAGCACAGGCTCCGGACACGCAGGCTCAGCAGCCATGGCTCACGGGCCCAGCCGCTCCGTGGCACGTGGGATCTTCCCGGACCGGGGCACGAACCCGTGTCCCCTGCATTGAGCAGGCGGACTCTCAACCACTGCGCCACCAGGGAAGCCCCTACTGTTCAGTTTTGTCCTGTTCCATCCTATATCACATGCAGGCTCCTGGAGGAGCCAGCAGGACTAAAACCAAAGCTTAATATGCCATCTGACCCCACCCTTCGATCCTGACCTTCTACCATCCCATACTTAAAGGCACTGCTAACAGCTTGCTACTTCTTCATTATATGGTGACTCGAGGCATGCACATCCTTCTAGCTTGTAAAAGCAAGGGTCTAGAAGGACTAAGGGAAGAGGATGCGGAGGGATGGACATGGTGGATGAGGTGAAGATGAGGTCACAGGCATGCATGGGTGACATTAACACAGGGATGACACACACACACACACACCCTGCACTTACTGGACTAGGAATGGCATCAGGGTCTATTCTGTGTCTGGTTTTCTGCTGAGGAGGCAGCTCATTGAGTTGCTTTTAGTGTTTTAATAATAAAGGCAGCAGGGGAATACAGGGAGGGAGACAAAAGAACAAGAAGCAGATGTTACTTCTCTCAGCCCTGATGAGTTAGACATGAACAGCTAACTCATGGAGTTAGCTCATACTAACTCCATGGAGCCCAGCTCATACTGCTGAAATCAGGCCCCCCCTAGATCAGAAATTCCAAATGTTTCTGGGCCAAAAAAGAGCCTTTAATGGCTCAGGCTATGATGTAGAAAGATAAGGAAGGGGGCAAATAGGAGGCAAGAGGGGTTATACGGAGGGGCTGAATGGGAGAAATTTTAAGAAGGAAGAAGAGGGATGTTCCTTCCAAAAGGCCAAGCCTCCCATGTAAGAACTATTCTTATGCTGAAAGAAGCCTCACATCCAACCAGACTCTCCTTCTTACTAAAGGAGGGAGAAGGAAAGAGGGACTGCTTAATCCTGTAGAGTCCCCCTTTGCCAACTGGGTCCCTCACCATGATAGTTCCCCAAAGGAAGAGGGAAGAGAACAGAATGGAATATGACAATGGCTAAGCATGGTGAGGTAATTGACATAGCAAATGTTGCAGACAGAACTATAAAGTGGCCTCCACTTGGGAATACAGTACCAGCCTCTATTCTGTGTATGATGAGGAAGGCCTGAGTATTCTGATGGCTCTAAGGGTGAGATTCACCCTCTTCCTGGGAGAAGCAACTTCCCCACATCACCCTTGAAATTGTAGATCACTATTCCCCATCCACACAGCAGCAGGCTAACAAACAAAAGTATTGGAGGCTTCCTCCTAAAACACTGTCCAAATAAGGGCAGAGAGAATCCAGAGAGGCTTTCCTTTTCTTACCACCTAACACCAGAGAATTTCCACCAGCTCTACCCGTTAAGAAGACTGCTATCCTACTAGATCTAAGAGGACAAGACGTGGACCCACCCACTACTCCACAGAAGAGCAGAGGTTACCGTGCTCTGTCCAGCAGTGGCAGAATGCAGCACTCAACCCAGAGCTCTACTGATACTGCTGATCACTCCTGGTTTCCCTTCCTTTCCTGCCCAGCTATGAAGTAAAAGTGCCCCCAAAAGACTTCTGGGACTTCAAGTTCTAGTTAAAGAGTCAAAAATTACATCTAGGTTCTACACCTACAAGATGATGAACGAAAAGGAAAATCAGAAAAGGCTAGGCAAACATCTCTTCTAGGTTGACTCACTTATCTGGCAGCCACAAGCACCTTCCCCAGGACCACATAAGTATCTACTTACAGGGCTCGGGATGGCATCAGGGTCCAGGCGCTTAGCAGGCAATGGTTGAGGAGGCCCAGGCTGACTTCCAAAAGCGGCTGCTCCTGGGTAGGGACTTCCATAATTGGACTGAGGGCCCCGGGTTGGTCCAAAGGAACCTAAGAGACAAGGACACAAGGTTGATGAACAAATTATTCCTTCTTTATCTCTTCTTAAGGCCTCACGGAAATTACTAGACTCCTATAAATGTAGGATTGAGAGGTACAGTAATGACCATTCAGAGAAAGCCCACACTATCTGAACTAAGAGAAAAAAAAAATCTTACAAACCCCAGATCCTAGTAATAATACCCTGAAGCTGTCTATCTAGTTCACCACTTAGCAAGCAATACTAAAAGCAAATAAAAACAACAAAAACACGTGAACTGCTAAAGCCTTTGGCTCCTAGGTAGACCTTGGGAAAAACTCACCATTTTGTTGCAGCTGATAGCCTGGCTGCTGGGAGGAGTGCATAGGTGGTAGTGGTGGTCCTGGGGGCCCAGTCATTTGGGTGCCAGGGGGCAGAGCTTGAGGAGCAGGTGAGGACACGTGGTTAGGCTGGCTCACTGGGGGCCCCCCAAAACTCTGTCCAGGCAAGAGAGGACCAGTCATCGAAGGCATCCGAGGACCCCCTGAAGCTGGGGGTGTGAAGCTGGAGGCCTGTAGTGGGACAGGTCGCTGGGGAGGCTGGGTCCCAGGATGACCCTGGGCCTGGCCAAGGGGAGGAGCTTGGCCCTGAGGATAGGAGCCATACAGACCAGAGTTAGGGAAACTTCCTGAGGCTGAGGCCAGCGATGTTGGTGGGCCTGAGAAGTAGAAGAAGTAGAGTCAGAACCCCAGTCATTCTGCCTCCTTGTTCAGTAAATCACTTTCCTTTCCACATGAGGGGCAGGAATGACTTCTCCCATCTGCTGGGACTCAGAAGCACAAGAAATAAAAGGGATTCAGGTATAGCCCCAGAGTCTGATGCTTCTAAAAAGAAGGGGACAGTATTCCTGTGGTCACAGCTACTCACCATAGCCTAGCCCTGAAGGTGGAGAGGCTGGGGCCACAGTACCACTGATCTGCATTCCGGCCAGCTGAGCCGTCACCTGTGCACTTGTTGGGGGAGGGCCATAGGGCTGAAGCACAGCTGGCTGGCTGACCACAGGGGCCAATATGGCTGACCCAAATGGCTGATACCCAGGGAGCCTGCGAAGAGAAGGAAGGCAGAGGTTTCTAGTGGGCTGAGATACCCTTCAAAGTTGGCAGGAGCTCCACATCATATAGGAAACTATATTGTTTTACAGCATCTTACTCTCATCTGGGCTCTTATATGGCTTCACATTTTTATATATTTGTGAATAAATTACATTCCTCATGATCTACACTGTGATTATTCATGGCAAACCTTGTTTTCCATTAGGTTCACTCCAAAAACATGTGTTGAACACCCTCAGATCAGAGTATTATTTACTCTGCTAGTTAGATTATCACCTTCTCTGCCTTAATCCTTTGTTGACAAACCACCTCAGTTCTGTAATCTGAAGCACTGAAGGAGTCGAAGGGAAGGTGCACAGAAGCATTAACACAACAGGAGCTTAATAATGTGGGCTCAAACAAATGCAGTTTGATTGTTTAACTTTTAAACCAAAGTATCACTTAATCCTGGGAAAGATGTTAGAAATATCCTTAAGATTAGAAGAGCAGGTCAGCTAAGTCTGGCATTCTATGCTAAGCAGAAAGATGATGCTAACTCTACCAGAGTTAAGGACTAGACAAACAGGACATAAACTAGGTAGCCTTCTAGCTGGGTCTATCTAGCAAAGCCTCGTTACTTGGATAACTGTCTTGGATACTCCCATGGTATCAGATGGCATATTAAAATATAAATTCAAAATCATTCCAATATCATTGTATACCAACTAGCAATTGCAACAGTGTTTTACAGTAATGTTACTGCAGAAATCTATAACATAGATTATTATACATAACAAGCTCTTTCTGGGATTTCAAGAATGAATCAAATTCTTCACAACGGTAGCCTGTTAAACTGAAATTCTGATTTATCCTTCCTGCTTATTTTGTCTCTACTAAATAACTAGAACTTTATTATGTTTGGTCAGCTTCTACTAGTTCTGCAGTTTCACACTTTTCATTTGTTCATTTAACTAGTATTTTCTGGGCAATATGCTAGTGAAACTTACCTCCCTAAGCTCTTTGTTGGGCTTTGCATTTTTTGTCTTCCATAGCAACAAACATACTGTTAGCCCCATGGCAGATGCTCATAAATCCTTGTCAAAATAATTATATTCCATGGTACTACTCTATTAACATGGATAATACTCTCCACTACCCAGTGGTATTCTATCACATACCATAGTAACAATAAACCAACACCTTATCTGTACATAGCTTTATAATTTACAAAGCATCTCTAAGTGCTTTATTTAATTCTCACAGCAAATTAATGAGGGAAACAGAGCAGATAGAAAACTAAGACACTAAGGGTATAAGTAGCAGACTATTCTAGAACTAGAACCCAGACACAATTCTTAGTCCAATGTATCAATACTTTACTTTTTAATTGTGAAATATAACATAAATAGAAAAAAATACATAAAACATATACGTACTGCTGAATAATACAAAAACCCATGTAACCAAAAAGCAATTCAAAAAATAGAATACACCAAAGGCCCAGTGTGCCTCTCCTCCATCACAGCCCTCTCCTTTCTCCCAAAGATAACTACTTTCCCAACTTCTTGATAATTGTTCCCTTATCTTTAAAACAATATAATTCAGCTATGTCAGGTTTTTAAACTTTTGTAAACAGAATCACATCGTACATACTCTGAGTTTGCTTCTTTTGTTCAACCATGTTTATGAATTCATCTATGCTGTTGCATTTAGCATTCTCTTTCATCACTAAATATTATTCCACTAAATAAATATGCCATGATTTACTTAAGCATTTTACTACAGATGGATATTGGGGGTTTTCCAATTTTTGGATATTATCAATAATGTTGCTATATTCAATCATATATTCAACTTGTTTATACACACATGAGTTTTTTCTAAGGCATATAGCTATGAGTGAAATTACTGGTTTATATGATATGCATATCTTTAATTTTAACAGATAATTCCAAGTTATTTTCCCATAGTAGTTGTACTAATTTGCATCTGACCACCAGTGGATGAGAGTTCCTGATACTCCATATGCTCAGCAATAATTAGTACTGTCAGACTTTTTAATTTTGCCAATCTGATGGATACACAGGAGTATCTTGTTGTGTGTTTTTTAAAATAAATTGATTAATTAATTTATTTATTCATTTTTGGCTGTGTTGGGTCTTCGTTGCTGCGTGCGGGCTTTCTCTAGTTGCAGCAAGCGGGGACTACTTTTCGTTGCGGTGCATGGGCTTCCCATTGCGGTGGCTTCTCTTGTTGCAGAGCACGGGCTCTAGGCGCAGGCTTCAGTAGTTGTGGCTTGTGGGCTCTAGAGCGCAGGCTCAGTAGTTGTGGCGCACGGGCTTAGTTGCTCTGCCCTTAAACTTAAGCCCGCAGGTTCTCAAGATAATAATTTCTACCCTCTCCACTGGTAGCCACAGTGTCAACTTACCACTCTGATTTTCAGTTCCCACTTTGTCTCTGGCACTTGAGGATTTCACTTTCTTTCTTTTAAGCTTGATTATGTATTTGAAAAAAAAAATTGTTTCTATTTCCTCTCCCCTTTCTAGATGTTTGTGGCAGAAGGGTTTTAGGTTACATTAACCTACTTACCAGCTGAAATTCTTTCACCTGCCTTCATGTCTCCACTGAAACTACATCTGTCAATAATGTCGCACCTTGCCAAACCCAACAGTCAATTCTTCGTCTACATCTCACCCTTCAGCAGCAAATGACACAGCTGATTATTCTCTTGACTTCCTAAAATACTTTCTTCACCTAGTTTCAGGATGCTACTCTGTCATGGCTAATCTCCTACCTCACTACTGCTCTTTCTCAGTGTGTTTGTTTGTTTGTTTGTTTTATTTGGCTGTGCCAGGTCTTCAGTTGTGGCATATGGGATCTTTAGCTGCAGCATGAGGGCTCTTAGTTCCCTGACCAGGGATCGAACCCAGGCTCCTGCATTGGGAGCATGGAGTCTTAACCGCTGGACCACCAGGGAAGTCCCTCATTGTGTTTTTGTTTGCTTGTTTGTTTGTTTGTTTGTTTTGCGGTACGCGGGCCTCTCACTGTTGTGGCCTCTCCCGCTGCGGAGCACAGGCTCCGGACGCATAGGCTCAGTGGCCATGGCTCACGGGCCCAGCTGCTCCGTGGCATGTGGGATCCTCCCGGACGGGGGCACAAACCCACGTCCCCTGCATCGGCAGGCGGACTCTCAACCACTGCGCCACCAGGGAAGCCCCTTCATTGTGTTTTGATAGCTCCTCCTCTGACTGCCTTTTTTTTTTTTAAATAAATTTATTTATTCATTTATTTCTTTTTGGCTGCGTTGGGTCTTCGTTGCTGTACGTGGGCGAGCAGGGGCTACTCTTCGTGGCAGGCTTCTCATTGTAGTGGCTTCTCTTTGTTGCGGAGCACGGACTCTAGGAGCACGTGCTTCAGTAGTTGCAGCACCTGGGCTCAGTAGTTGTGGCTTGGAGGTTCTAGAGCGCAGGCTCAGTAGTTGTGGCACACGGGCTTAGATGCTCTGCAGCATGTGGGATCTTCCGGGACCAGGGCTCGAACCTGTGTCCCCTGCATTGGCAGGCAGATTCTTAACCACTGCACCACCAGGGAAGTCCCTCTGACTGCCTTTTACATGTTGGTAAGCTCCAAGGTTCAGTCCTCACCTCTACTATTTACTCTCAATGCTCACTTTCTAAGTGATTTCATTTAGTCCCATGGCTTTAAATAATGTCTCTATACTGAAGACTCCCCAGTTTGTATCTCCAGTCCTGACATTATTCCTTAGCTGCAGATCCATATACAACTGCCTATTCAGCATCTCTACTTGGTAGCTGGTAGCTTTCTTAAACCTATAATGTACAAAATAAAACCCTTCATTTCACCCCCCAAATCTGCTCCTTCTCAAATATTCTTCATCCCAGTAAATAGCACTATTTACCAAATTGTTTAAGTCAACAGGTTAAAAGACATCCAGAATTCCTCTTTCTCTCTTAACTCACATCTAATCCTACCGACTCTACCTTCAAAATATATCCCAAATCTGACTGCTTCTTACCACCTCTACCACTACCATCCTAAACCAAGCCAAGATCATCCCTTACCTGAACTACCGGCAATAACCTCCTCATAGGATTCCCTACTTCTACTCTTGAATTCGGCAAAGTGACCTCTTTTTTATTTTATTTATTTATTTATTTTTGCGGTACGCGGGCCTCCCACTGTTGTGGCCTCTCCCGTTGCGGAGCACAGGCTCCGGACGCGCAGGCTCAGCGGCCATGGCTCACGGGCCCAGCCGCTCCGCGGCACGTGGGATCCTCCCAGACCAGGGCACAAACCCGTGTCCCCTGCATCAGCAGGCAGACTCTCAACCACTTGCGCCACCAGGGAAGCCCGTGACCTCTTTTTTAAAATAAATATATTTGTTTTAATTATTAGAGAATGAGGAGAGCACAAGCAAAATTTTAAAAAAGTAATGTTTTTACTAATCACATTTGTGATAGTATTAGTATTGTTATACTGAGATTGTTGTGTATAATAAGGGATAAAATAAATGAGAAATTGTAGGATATTCCAATATTCAAATTCCATCATCCCCACCTGGTATGGAAGAAAAGAGATACAGATATAATGAAGAGGTTAAGTAAAGGTTCTGTAGTCTTGAATTTGAACTGAAAGTACATATTTAAACTAATGAGGTATTGTAACTTTAATATATGTAGGTATGTATTTCTTAGCTATGTCCACTGAAGAGGCCTAGGAAGTGACCAATCAGGCAACAATGAACATTCCTAGTGCCCAGGTTATAGTCACAAAATAACATTTCTCACCAAAAAAATAAAGGACTTCTTGGAAAAATGGGTAATTCCTAGTCTAGAATATAAATGTACAAGATAAGCCTGAAACATCTCATTAGACCTAAAGATTACTAGGGTCATGTCAAAAGGACTCAGGAATCAACTTGAAGAGGCGCGCATTGGTCAAAGACAGGACACTTTATACTCCAACAATGATGATAGTTGCAGTGATTTGAAACCCATCAAATATGTTTAAAACTATAATTCATAATGATATTAAAAATAAGAGTTGGTCACCTTGTACATAACAGAGAACCAACTCATTTCCCTATAAACTAGGAAATAAAGGTAAAGAATCAAGCATTTATTCTACATGAATTGCACAACCTGTAACCAAATAACAGATGACAAGAACTGTCTAAAATGGTATTCAAACAAATAAATGAGGAAAACAAAAGAATTAGAGTATCACCATTTTGTAAACCCAGTGAATTAACATATATATGCATAAACAACTAGTAACATCATAAAAAGAAAGATATCAAGATACTATGTGTGGGGCTTCCCTGGTGGCGCAGTGGTTCAGAGTCCGCCTGCCAATGCAGGGGACGTTGGTTCATGCCCCGGTCCAGGAAGATCCCACATGCCGCGGAGCGGCTGGGCCTGTGAGCCATGGCCGCTGAGCCTGTGCATCCGGAGCCTATGCTCCGCAACGGTGCACAGGCTTCCCTGGTGGCACAGTGGTTAAGAATCCGCCTGCCAATGCAGGGGACATGGGTTCGAGCCCTGGTCCGGGAAGATCCCACATGCCGCAGAGCAACTAAGCCTGTGCGCCAAAACTACTGAGCTTGCGCTCTAGAGCCCGTGAGCTACAACTACTGAAGCCCACGCACCTTGAGCCCGTGCTCCACAATAAGAGAAGCCACCGCAATGAGAAGCCCGCGCACTGCAACAAAGAGCAGCCCCCTCTCGCCGCAACTAGAGAAGGCCCGTGTGCAGCAATGAAGACCCAATGCAGCTAAAAATAAATAAATAAATTTATATTTAAAAAAAAGATATTATGTGCCTTCAAAGTCTTGCTCCATCCTATCCACAGGGATCAAATCTGGATCCAGTCTTTGGATTCAGCTGCCAATTTGCAGGAAATACAAAGGAAAAAGGAAAATACTGAACTGCAACATGAATATACAACCCAGATAATCCAGGCTGTGGGAAACTCTTCAGGTCAATTAGCTTGGAGTCCTCAACAGATAAACAGTAAGAAAAAGAAAGAGATAAAAAGGGAACCTATGGACTTAAAAGACACATCAAGTTGTTTTTTCTTAATAGGTAAAACTAAACTGTGGTGTCTAGGGATGTACCTTTGGATGTAAACTATTTTAAAAAAACACAAGAAAGTCGCTACTATAAAAGTTAGGATAGGGCTTCCTTGGTGGCACAGTGGTTGAGAGTCCGCCTGCCAATGCAGGGGACACGGGTTCGTGCCCCAGTCCGGGAAGATCCCACATGCCGCGGAGCAGCTAGGCCCGTGAGCCATGGCTGCTGAGCCTGCGTGTCCGGAGCCTGTGCTCCGCAACGGGAGAGGCCACAACAGTGAGAGGCCTGCATACTGCAAAAAAAAAAAAAAAAAAAAAAAAAAGTTAGGATAGGGAAGGGAATTCCCTGGTGGTCCAGTAGTTAGGGCTCCACACTTCCACTGCAGGGGGCATGCGTTCGAATCCTGGCTGGGGAACCAGGATCCCGTGTGGCCAAAAAAAAAAAAAGTTAGGATAATGGTTACCTATAGGGGGAGGGAGAGAGCGATGATTGAACTGGAACACATGGAAGGGGTTTTAGGGGTGTGTGGCAGAGTTCTATTTCTTGATCTGGGTTGTAATCACTTTATGAAAATTTACCAAGCCATACCTTTGTTTTGTATGGTTTTTGTGTATGTGTTTTACATTACAATGAAAAGATCCATCACATAAGTGAACAAACAAATAAATGGGGAACATGTTACTCTCCAGCTTAAAACTCTCCAATGGCTTCCCACTGCAACTAAAATCAAATTAAACTTCTAACTACGGCTTAGAAAGCATTACATGATATGGTTCCTGCCTATGTACCTACTTTATCTCCTCCGCTCTCCTCTAGACACACTGGCATTCTTGCTCTTCTTCACATCAACCAAATTAATTTCTCTACCAGGGCCTTTGCACCATTGTTCCGTCTATCTAAGACACTCATCCCCCAGATCTCTGGGTACCTCCCTTCATCATTTCACTGTGGTTTCAAACATCACTTCAGAGAGGCTTTCCTTGGCCAATGTATTTAAAACAGCTTCCTACCTCCTCACTACTCATTCTCAATATACTTATTCTGTTTTATTTCTTTTTTTTTTTTTTTTTTGCGGTACGTGGGCCTCTCACTGTTGTAGCCTCTCCCGTTGCGGAACACAGTCTCCAGACGCGCAGGCTCAGTGGCCATGGCTCACAGGCCCAGCCGCTCCGCGGCATGTGGGATCTTCCCGGATCGGGGCACGAATCCGTGTCCCCTGCATCGGCAGGCGGACTATCAACCACTGCACCACCAGGGAATCCCTGTTTTATTTCTTATTTACATTTGACTACTTGTTATCTTCTGTGTACTCCATGAGACTATAAGCTCACGAGGGCAGAGACTTGATCTGTTTGATAATGCTTTATCTCCAACCTCTAGAACAACGTCTGACACATAGTAGTACAAAATAAATATTTTTAAGTGGATGAATGAACTAATGAATTCCCTATACTGCTTCTCAGAGTTTTCCAACACAGAGGGTTAGGGAGAGTTTCCTAGGCTCTTTCTCTGGGCTTACATTCAATGTTAAAAATGTATATTCTGGACACCTAATAAAAATGTCACTAAGTGACTCTTCCACTACCACATACCCTATGCGTAGTTATACTTTATTCTTTGTTTACCAAAAAACAAACAGCATTCCAACAGAGATGACTGCCCTCCTTTAATAGACTTCCATGCAAAGACAAGGGTTTACTGAGTCAAGCACCACCAAAGTTTTCATCATTTATGTAGTTTTCCTTTGAGTATCTTTCCTTTCATAACTGGTCACACCCAAACTTAACCAATAAGTCCTACTAAGTGCCTGATCTAAAGGAAAAGGAAAAGAGAAGTCAGAAGAGACATAAATAATCCTGAGGTTCTTTTCTCCTGTTTTTCCCGTAGGGTAAGCTCAGAAGGACCATAACAATGATTATAGATATGTCTAGTCAAGGAAAAAACCCAAGTTCACAAAAATAGAAAGAATATGAAAAAAACCCAGGTACTTAGATGGGTCAATAATCCATAGGGTGGACATTAGCAGCACCTGTAACCTGCAAAAATGAGAACAAAATACAAAAAGATGAAGGGAAGAGGAAAAGGGATGTAAGAGAAAAGCAAAGAAAAAAAAAAAGAAAAGAAAAGTAAACAGGCCCTCACACATTCCTAATTCTTCCAGTCTCATCAGACCAATTTTAGGTTGAGCCAAATACGTACCTCTGAATGGACTTGAGGACACGGCGAGGAGGAAGGGTAAGCTGGGACGAAGTGAGAGAGTGGCATGGACATATATACACTACCAAATGTAAAATAGATAGCTAGTGGGAAGCAGCCGCATAGCACAGGGAGATCAGCTCGGTGCTTTGTGACCACCTAGAGGGATGGGATAGGGAAGGTGGGAGGGAGAGGCAAGAGGGAGGAGATAATGGGGATATATGTATATGTATAGCTGATTCACTTTGTTGTACAGCAGAAACTAACACACCACTGTAAAGCAATTATACTCCAACAAAGATGTTTAAAAAAAAACAAATACGTACCTCTGCATCTGAACAGTGGAGCTTGGCCCATTCTGTACATCTCCTTGTCCAAACTGGCCATATGCAGTCTGGCCACAAGGGCCCTGTGCTGTCGAGGCTGGAGGTGCCCCTGAAGAAGGTGGGGCTCTTGAAACACCTGAGGGTAAAGAAGAGAAACTAAGCAATTGGGAAATAACTTTCTCCTCCACCCTGAGCAAGGAATGCAAAGCAAGAATCAATAAGCTCAGACCAATAAGCTCAGACCTTTACTGCAATATCACAAGCATAATACCATAGCTTGGTAATGAAAAGGACACCATCAACATGCAACTCCAGCTACAGGAGATTCTGAACATGGATGCCCAGCCAGAGAGCCTCTACTCTCCTAGACAGGTATACTACAGGTGAAGCTGTAGCCAGAGCCACAAAAATGTAGGGCCTTCCTATGATCACCATACACTCTCACTCAATCCAGGACAGTCTAACGTTCTTACCCTAGACAAAACGTCAACTCTTTTAAGGAAAAGATCTGGGGCTTCCCTGGTGGCACAGTGGTTAAGAATCCGCCTGCCAATGCAGGGGACACAGGTTCGAGCCCTGATCCAGGATGATCCCACATGCCGTGGAGCAACTAAGCCCGTGAGCCACAACTACTGAGCCTGAGCTCTAGAGCCCTCAAGCCACAACTACTGAAGCCCATGCGCCTAGAGCCCGTGCTCTGCAACAAAAGAAGCCACCGCAATGAGAAGCCCGCGCACTGCAATGAAGAGTAGCCCCCGCTCACCGCAACTAGAGAAAGCCCGAGCGCAGCAACAAAGACCCAACACAGCAAAAAATAAATAAATAAATAAAATTTTTTTTAAAAAAGGAAAGGATCCCACTCCAGAACTCAGAAACTTAGAGCATACTTGAGAAAGGTGGCACAGAAGGTGACCAAGTAACATTCTAAACTAGGTTGTAAAGAAAGGCACCTCTTAGAAAGACTATTCGGGACATCCCTGGTGGTCCAGTGGGTAAGACTCTGTGCTCCCAATGCAGGGGGCCTGGGTTTGATCCCTATTCGGGGAACTAGATCCCACATGCATGCCGCAACTAAGAGTCCGCATGCCACAACTAAACATGCCACAATGAAGATCCTGCATGCCGCAACTAAGACACGGCGCAGCCAAAATAAATAAATAAATATTAGGAAGACTGTTCTGCCAACCTCTTCTTCATATATTCTACTCATCCTACGCATCTTCTTTTCAGTCATTTCTAAGTGTTGGCACTCCCAATAGCACATGGCTCAGGAAAGTATTCCCACGGGTTGGAGAATTTGTTCCTGCCCAACTGTTCAGTCAGGACAGGTCACCTGCCCTCCAATTACTGCTGTCACTATGTCGTCACAAAAGCTGTACTCCATCCTTTCTGCTCATCAGAGCTGCCATCAAAGCTACTTCTACTCCCCCCAAGCATCCTTCCCACATGAGATGCAGGAAGAAAGCAATTAGTTACTTGGCATATCACTTTGGAAATATTGCTGATCCCTGTTCAAACTATTGTTTTTTTGTTTTTCTTTTGCTCTGCCCCCAGTAGAGATTAGACACTATAGAACCTGCCTACAGGAATATGATTAATCTGAACCTGCTCACTAGCCATCAAAGAACCAGATATGTTTTCCTCTCAATAACAGAGCTTCCTCTTGGGGCAATGCCAAACTCCATCTTGATAAGCCAGGACTTGATAGATCAGAGGTGGACTCTGTCCGGCCAAAGTCCCAACCCAGAGTAAGGCTCTCCAAAGCCCTGAGACCTAATCTCACCACTTCGCAATTTTTTTTTCCAAAGTCATAATTAAAATGGTCATAACTTCAATCATTTCCCAAATCTTACCTATGCCTCCTTGGTGCCTTCTTTTTCCCATATCCCTTTATGGAATTTACTGTTTTAAAAAGCATAAAGCATTTGGTATACCTAAGTCCTTAGCTAGCCTAACCAAAGATCAAATGTCAACCATTTTCTAAAAAACTCCTACGAATAATATAATCTGTAGATTACCAGCTGCTCTTCATGAAAAAGTAACGTAAAAGCCAAACACTGATCCTAAGGCAGCACCAGATTGGTTTCCTCTTATTTCCCTGATATTAGACAATATCTAAGAAGCCAAAGAAACTCAAACAAAGGAAAAGGAATGATATCAGCAGAAAGATATGAGAGGCACCAAAAATCAGGCACACAAACATCACACTTTTCATCCATGAACTAGTTCCCCAAGTCCCAGAGTCATTTATAGATAGAACTATGAGTCCGATGAGAGGCCTTATCAATATACATGAGAAACAAGTGATTTCAGAGAGACTTTAGGTCAATAGAAATAATTAATCCTAGTCACAGGCTCTGGACGAGCTGCGACCACAACCCTTCCATCCAGCTGTGAACAATGCAGCCAGGTGAGGCTGCACAGGGTGACACTCACAGGAGGTGAACTGCCATTGAACCTGGAAGATGTGCTCCCACTAGATGTCCTAAGGCAGAGACACAGTCACCTTATAAAAAAACAGGGAAAGGTGGGAATTCCCTGGCAGTCCAGTGGTTAGGACTCGGCACTTTCACTGCTGTGGCCTGGTTTCGATCCCTGGTCAGGGAGTTAAGATCCTGCAAGCTGCGTGATGCGGCCAAAAGGGAAAAAAAAAACAGGGAAGGGCAGACTGCCCACAGGACTCTCAGTGACCAAGAGCCAGATTCATGTTCCTCAATCCCAGTCACCACAACCTTTTAGGCAGCTTAGGTAGGGCAATACAACCCAACCTGAAGACTACTAATTCCCCTCGTCAGCTCAAAGGAAGCTTGGAAACATACCTGGGGGAGGGGTTTGCTGATAGCCTGGTACTGGGCCATTGTAGGCTCCATAGGAAGTGGGGGCGGTTGTGGACCCTGGTTGCCCACCATAGCTGGATTGATGATGCCCTAGGTAGACAGGCTGGGGCTGCCCAAACGGCGGCACAGGTGGAGCTGACTGGTTAACGTTCATTATGAGAGCATCCCCGACTTGGTTTCACCTATTAGATGAGAGAGAAGAGAGAAATTAGTCAAAATCAGTTTTCTAAAGAGAGAGCACTATTCACAGTAGGAAGTAGAAATAGAAAAGGACTGACCTTATCAGGCAGTGATCAGCCTAATCATTCTCACACTACTACAGGATCTTTGTAATTTTCTTCCCCAGACAGCAGACAGACTGCCTCCTCAAAGTAAGGATTTTGTTACTCTGAACCCTATGCTTTGTCACTGCCAAGAGGGTATAAATTTCAACCTCAGATAGGCCCATTGGAATGGAGCAGCAGCCTCCATTCCCCAGTGGTATGATTTCTAGTGTCTAGTCATACAAGAAGTCCTGCCACTGATAAACTATTGTGATATTACAGGTAAATGAAACAATGCTCCCACTTTCCATTCATTCACTCTAGCATCCATTCATTCCACAAAATTGAATACCCTCTAGTGTGCTAGTCATTTTTAATCACCCAGACTACATGTCTAAAACAGATTGGCTAAATTCCCTCCCCCTCAAAAGACAAATTTTAGAGTAACCGGTTAGAAAAATGACATTCTTTGGCTAAACTGCAGTAAATCAAGTGCTACACCATCCCCAGTCTTCCCACCAAAAAAGTGTATGGACCTTAGAACTGAAGTATTAAAATCACTAAATGTAAAGGACAGCTCAAAACTCTAGCAAGGTATCAGATTAAAACTGAGTGCAGGCCTGGCAAAAAAATTCTTACAATAACCTAGGGAAACAGTTCAAAGATCAGTGGCAAAGTTAGATTTCATGGAAAAAGATCATTCACCTTATCCTTCTAGCAGAGGGGACTATAAGTATTCCAAATCCCAATGCACTTCTCCAACTCTCCTGTTTCTGCTCTTATATGCTTGTAATGAATCTAGGCCACCACCAAAATTATTACAATCTTGCCCAGCAGCAAAGGAATAAATTGGAGAGCCTTTCCAAGGTCCTTCCAAGAACAGGACTATCTGATCACATCTACTCTTCATAGCCTGATCATTCCAACTATCCTATAGACAGAAGGGACCCAGGAAGCATAAGAGCTCACAGCTACTGCAATGGAACAATGGGCCTCTCCCCTTTGCTAGGTAGGGCCATCTTGACTACAGAAAAGCTGAGCTGCTCTTGGACTAAAACTCTTTAAATTCAAAGCCATCTCAGGAGCTGTTCTTCCAAATCCTAAACCTCACACAGGTCACTACATTAAGCTTGACAGATGTCCTCCTCCTCTTATTTTCCTAAAGTCAGTGTGGGGGTGGGGATGGTAGGAAAGGAGCGTCTTCTCGAGGAAATAATCCCCTCAAACACACCCAAGAGTTTGGAGTCAGGCTCAAGTTTCAACTCCACTCTGGGTGGACAGTCGAGGGTGACAACCCAGGAGGCGGGGCAAGCTTCCTAGAACTCTGAAAGTAGTCGAGCTGTGGAGGCTGGGAGCGCCGGGGATCAAGACCGAGAAGCCAAGCCAGCTTCTCGGGCCGCGATGAGAGAGACTTCCACTAAGTAGGAGATCGAGCGTCTTGCGCCCTTCAACAGGCTCAGGGAAGGAAGCGGGAGCCGGAATCTGGGCCGGGAGAAGAGAAGGGAGGGTCTAGGACTGATTCTGGATTGTGGATGCATGAGGTGAGGGTCTCTCCCCGGGCCCCGCCCCCGGGCCCCTCCCTTCCTTCTCAGACAGGACCCCGATCTGGCCAGTGATACCCCGGCCTGTCCTCTGCTTTCCTACCCACCAACCTCCCGAAGCCACTCCTCACCCGGCTCCAGATCCAGGTTCGACTTCGTTCCTAACGTCAAGGCTCCCAGGCTCCACTTCCGGTTCCGAGGGGGCCGGCGCGTCGCCCCCGGAAGTTCCACCCCCACGCTCCAAGGCCACTCCTTCTGCCACGTCGGCAGTAAGCACGCGCCGAGGAACCCGGATGCCGCACATGCGCTACTTTCCCCTCTCGTCATGGCCGCCCCCTAGGGGCTCCGCAGTTTTTTATGCATTTCCGTTTTTGTTTTTGTTTTTGTTTTGCCCAGATGTCCTGGTAACCTTATGGTCCCACCAGCTGAGATGTGATTGAACTATGTTTAGTAACTCTCCTTCCTATGACATATTAGAAACCTCTGATTTAGAGTCCTGCAGCGATTTCCTGCTGATCCCTGGCCCCATTGATTTCCGTCTTGGAGGTTCTCACCCATGACCTTTGCCGGTCTTGAGATTTGCGGAGCGGAACGTACAATTTTTTTAAAATATAATTATTCTGATGTAATATATCTTTTTAAAATTTATTTATTTTGGCTGACCCATGGGGCTTGCAGGATCTTAGTTCCCTGACCAGGGATCCAACCCATGCACCGGGCAGTGAAAGTGCAGAGCCCTAACCATTGGACCACCAGGGAATTCCCTTAGAACCCTGTAACGTTGAAGGGCACTAATTCTGCTTTCTGGGGTCATGTGTTCAAGTTCTGGCTCTACAGTTCCCTAGCTAGGGCAACTTAATCTCGGCCTCAGTTTCTTTCATTTGTAAAATGAAGAGAATATGAATGCCCTTCTAAAAACTTGTTGAGAGTATGGGATTAGGCCACAAAGATTGCCTGGCACCGTAGTAAGTGCTCAGTAAAGGTCACTCGTTATTAGTTAACCGTTTTTATAGAGCGCCTTGGTTTAGGTGCAGAGCACTGCCACAGCCTGATAATCTCTACTCTTAGAATGCCCCCAGCCTTTTGGAAGAGCTACAGTTCCTGGAGTAATTATTATTACGCCATTTAATAATAACAATATTGTAGCTAATATTTGTAGGAGTTTTTAAAATATACATAACCTCATTTAATCCTTTCAATAATCCTTTCATTTAATAATTATTTTTTAAGCATTGTTGTGTTCCAAGCCATGTTCTTGGGTCCAGGAATACAGTAGTGAACAAACAAAAGTTCTTCATCAATTTAAATAAGGTTTTGTAATTACATACACGTGTGATAAAGCTATAAAGAAAAACAAAGTGGGAAGTCCCAGGCAGTCTAGTGGTTAGGACTCCACGCTTTCACTGCTGGAGGGCTTGGTTTCTGTCCCTGTCAACTAAGATCCTGCAAGCAGCCTGGCCTGGGGCCAAAAAAACAAGAAACAAACAAAAAAGCCCCAAAGTAACAAAATTCAGGCTGTTGGTTACCTCTGGGGAGGGAAAGAGAAAAGTATAATTGGGAGGAACATAATGGAGCATCAATAATATTAATAGTGTTCTATTTCTTAATATTCACATGGATATTTACATTATTGTTATTTTCAAATAGTTCATATGTATTATGTACAATTCATTTCAAAATAAAAGTTTTTTTTTAATAAGGAAGAAAAGAAATGGGGAAAAAGCACTGGTGTAAAGGAAGCATTTAAAGGGAAAAAAACATTAAATGAAGAATTTTATGACAAATGCGGGGAAAAGTTCTTGCTCTCATATTGTGCACAGTAAATTTTAGTTATTCTGAGGCACAAAGTGGTTCATTCATTGAAAAACTTGCACTTCTAGTCGTTGCTGGAATCTGTTATTAGGCATTGAGCATGTTTTAGTGAACAGGCAGATTTTTCCTGTCCTCAGGAGTTTATAGTGGAGGTCAGTGTTTCTCAAACTGTGATCCTGGGATCAACAGTATCAGTTTCACCTGCGAAACCTGTTACAAATTGCAGACCCACCCTAGGCATATTGAATCAGAAATTCTGCAGGTGGGGCCCAGCAAGCTATGGCCCTCTAGACAATTCCATTGCACACTGAAGATTGAGACCCACTAGATTAGTAATTTGCGAAATTCAGCTAACATTTGTTGAGCAATTGCCATAAACTGGGGTCTCTGCAAAGTATTTTCGCATAATTTATCCCATTTAACATGTCAGCATAGGAAAGTAGGTATCCTCTGTCTTGCTTAATGTTGCACTCCTAGTAAGTAGTAGAGTTTAAATTCATAGTTTCTTGAGAATAGAGGCTGATATGTTGCATTTTATTGGTTTCTGTATCCCCACCCTGGTTCTCAATCTTGGCTGCGCATTAGAATCACCTGCAGTGCTTTTTAAACTGGCCATACCAAAATAAATAAATAAATAAATAAAAATAAAATGGCCATACCAGCTATTAGGCCAATAAAATTAGAATCCCTAAGGCTGAGGGGCCTGAGAGAGAGAGAGAGAGAGAGTGTGTGTGTGTATAAAGTATTTGTATAATGTATAATATTTGTATAATATATAAATTCATGTAATATGTAAAATGTCATTACACATCATCTAATCATATACACAGTCCTATTTTAGGGAGCCAGTAGCTTTAAAAGTTTTCCAGGTGATTCCAACATGCACTTAATTGATTCCAATATGCAGGGTTAATTGAAAGCCACTGGTATAGCACAATGGCTTACATGTAGCCAGCACTCAATAAATGTTTGAATAGTGAATGAATGGATATTTAGATACTCTTTTCACTGATGAGGTCAAGTAACTGCCCAAGGTCATACAGCTAATAAATGATAGAACAAGAATCCAAGTCCAGTTCTGACTCTAAATTCTAAGTGCTTTCTATGACTACATCAAACACCAAGGCAAACAGCATTTAGCATGCTATCAGAGCAGCTATTCCAGGGACCTCTGTAGCCTTCAATAATTACAGCACCATAATATTATGTTTTTTAAAAGAAAGAGATCTCTTAACATAGGGCATATTCATGTAATGGAAACCTAAAAATAACTAAATATTTTATTATTAACATGGGTTGGCATGTTTATGCACACCTATCTCTACCCACCTTTCCATGACCAACTATGTGTTGTAAGAGGTAATTTATTTCACCAAACATTGAGCACCTGTTACATCAGTCATTGCTCTGTGGGCTGTTGATTGGCTTTTACACACAGTCCTTGCCTTCAAGTTTCTCACAATCTAGGAGGGAGACAGGCATATAAACAAACCGTAATATTGGCTGAAAACTACAATAATAGAAATACGAACAAGATACATATTTTGCCCAGAGGAAGGAAGGATTAATTCTATAGGTAGGGAGTGAGGAGATGGGCAGGAGAAGCTTTATGGAACAGGCAACACTTCAGCTGGAGCAGACTGAACAGAGTTCCTCTACATTGCACCCAGCACTGCAGTGGGATATGGATCTCCACTTTGATTAATAGGTTAATTCATACAGCAAAGGGGTACTTTTTTCTGGGGATCTTGCAATCTTGTGGGACAAACCCAGCCATTCCTTGCTCAGGAATTGAAGCCCCTGCTGCTGCCACTTTGGAATAAGCTTTGGAGGAGAGCAGTTGGGATTAGTCCATGACCCTATCAGGGAAGGCACAGTCCCTGAAAGGATGTACATTAGTTATAGAGCCCACAGAGCTAGTACTCTGAGTCCTGAGTAAAAAGCTCATGCAGGAGAATGGGAGACAGGGGAGGGCAGAAGTTTTCACTATAATTAGCTCTGGGAGTAATACAGCTTGGGGAGGGAGGGGAGTACAGCCGGTAACTATTTTGAGCACAGCTTCGATTGACAGGACATGTGTGCTGGACTGTACTGATCTCAGGGCCAAGTTGCCTGCCTGTGGTGTGTGGTGTGGGGTGGAAGGCCTAGGGCAGCAGAAGCAGGACAGCCAGACAGGCCGGACGGGGTACCAGCACCTCGACTTCTCTCCCTGGGACACTGTCCAAACTCCGAAGGCCATAGGCCAAGCTGAGAGATGGGTGCTGAGGAGGAGGTGCTGGTCACACTGTCTGGGGGAGCCCCCTGGGGCTTCCGACTTCAGGGGGGGGCCGAGCAGAGGAAACCTTTACAGGTATCCAAGGTAAGGGAGCCTATATTGAGGTTTCAGGGAAAGGGGAACCCAAGGGAACTTGGGAAGAGTCATGTGGTGGCCTGTGGGGGGAGAAGTGGGAGGCTGTGAAGAAGTGGAGTGGGGGTGGGTGGATGGTCGAGGAAGCATGCTCAGATCTGACAGGGGGAGCAGTGTCTGAGCACAGCCTTCTTGTGGGGGGCTATTAGAAAAGGGAATTCCTGGTTTCTGGGAGCAGAGAAAAAGGAAGACTGTGCCTCAATTTCATAGAAGCAGAGGTCCAGGGCTGGCAACATAGGAACAGAGGCTCAGGGCTGGCCATCCAGTCTTTGCTCTCCTGGGTCTGTGCCTCTACTCCAAACTCCAGGAATGTAGGGAAGGTTGTCATTTCTCTCTAACTAAATTGGTATGTGATGATCTGAGGTTCTCACGCAGCCCAGCCCAGCCCAGCCCTGCCCTGCCCCTGCCCCAGCCTTTAGTCCTCCTCTTTCGCTACGCCAGATCCCTTCTCTCACTAGGCAAGACTTTTTTTAAGGCTAGGAGGGTTATGGCAAGATATGACCTGTCAGATGAAGTTGTTACCATTTTGGTTTCATAGCACAGGTTTAATTTTCTCAACTATAAAATGTAGGTAATGATAGTACCTACTCCATGGGTGCTAACTTCTAAGGATTAAATTCAATAAAACACGTAGAGTGCTTGGCACTGTGCCTAACATTTAGTAAGCACTAAATGTATCGCCACTATTACTATTATTACTTTAACATATGTACATGTGTGTGCACACCCGGCACACATATACATACACAATCGCAATCCCTCAGAATCTGCCGGACTCCCTCCAATCTGGAGTACTGTTCTAAAATCTTGACTGTGTAGATAATGGTGCCTAGGACTCCAAGGACTAGAAGAGAACTGTTGGCTAGTATAGATATTTCCTTTGGAGGAAAATCTTGAGGGGATAACCACCGTTTCTACAATAGTACGTCCCATCCCCCCTTGCAGTTTTCCCCGTCTTTTTCATTCAGTGATTACCCTACCTCCCTTCA